GTACCCGAAGGATCTAGAAAATAATCGAGGTTGATTCAGTAAAATCGTAACAATATTATTTTCTCCCTCTCTAATATCGAGGTTTCATTACATTGCCTATTAAACTGTGCTATCTCGCTTGTTTCAAAGCTTGCTAAATTATATTATTTCCGGGCTTCTGTAATTTTTTTTTATTTTCCTTTTACATATTTGTAAGTATTTCCTTTATTTTTTTATAATAGATGATCTATTCATTCGAAATTAAGTTAATTCACAATCTTTACTTACTAATATTAATACTGGCTTCAAACCTATTTCAACGACGTTCTAAAGTAGGAAGAAACTTTTCAAGCTGAAATATTATATATCTTCGGGTTGTGTTTCGACAAATATGTATGTTCGAGGTATATAATTGGAAAAGTAATTACTCAAAAAAAGTAGAGTAGAGGCGAGGTGAACCTAAATGTTTCAGGAAATTCAACTTTTTTACGAATTCTGTAGAGCAAGATATAATATAACATTTATATTTTTCAAGACAGCGTATTTAATATAAGTAAACTAAAATTTTTATAGGGTTAATTAATTTTAAAGGTCATTAAACAACAAATATAATTTTCAAACTTTTCAGAACAGCGATAATAATATTATTTAATATAGGTAAACTAATTTTTTTTATAAGGTTAATTAATTTTAAAGGTTATTCTACAACAAAAATAACAAATATCAGGAGCTATTAAGGCTTTCATTCTGACATATCCTATGTGTGATTCGTAATTGAAGTTTTAGATGTCAAGCAAAGGAAGGCAGGTTTTATGTGATATTGCTTAATATAATAGTTGGGGTTGTGGTGAAATGTGAGCATAGTCTAAGAACACAATTAATCGATATAAATAAATAGTACATTCTGTACACCTCTTATTCTTATTTTCGTTGTCAAATGTTGTGTGCTAATATAAAGCTGGCAACCTTTTAGTTTCCAAATACGTTTGTAATAAGTGCAATGCTAAATGTTTATTATTGATAAAATTTGTGATTCCAGAAAGTGACAGATCTAAAAGAAATTGTAAAATAAACGTTCCGCTTTGTTACTGTATAAGTTGGGTTGTTTTGTAATAATATATTGATTTTTAGTTGTCGTGATGCTTAATCAACAAGCTCAAGGCCAGGGTCAGCAAACTCTTTCACAGTCCTCTACGCAGATGCTTCAGCAGTCAACCATTGTACAAAATATTAACTCTAGCGTAGGAAAACTCAATGATTCTCACGGATTATCGTCTATTGGTAAGTTAAAATTTTTACTATTCAACACTCTCTCGCTTCTACAATTGAGTAGTGGTATTTTAAAGGGTGGTGTTCTGACTGAAGAGAAAAGTCTTCAAACAACCTTTGATTACAAAATTTTGTTATTTTTTTCTTCTTGACGGAATAATAAGTGCATATAAGCAATAACATTCATACTGAAAATACCACTTGGAAAGGAAAGCGTACGAAACTTTGAACGACGTGCATATAATATTCTTGGATTAACATCGTCCCATTATTCGAAGGCTATTGAAAAATGTGAAAATTAAAATTTTTGCATTAATTTCGTTTTTTTTTTATTATAACTATTGTTTAAACGTTCAGTCATACCATTCCAAGTAATCGCCAACGGATTGAAAAAAAGAGATCTTTAATGCCACTCTCGGTGAATATTGATAAAATCTTAAGAGGCATGTACATCAAAAAAAAAAGCTACAAATCCAATAAATTTTATGTCACATCAAAATATTTTTGATTAATTATCTGAAATCTATGCAAAAATTCGTGAAAATTTTCAGCATATGGCCAATTATTCCGCTTTGGGGGAATCAAATCGTTCCATATGGTCAATGTTATATAAAAAAGTTGTGGGTTTTATCCTTTATGTATAATATTTTTTTTTAACTTCATGTATGCCTATGATATTTTCTTGGGTTTAAAATTCGATTTTATTATTTATGCTCATACCCAGTAGAAATTGTATGTATACAACATCGAAGTAAGATGCATGAATAATCAGCTGTGTTTGTATGGATGATAGTATAAATGAACTTCTATTTCTGTTTTACACGTGAAGTTCCTGGAACTGCATGTATATTTCATTCAAAAGTAATAAAGGAGAATATGTACACTTATTTTGTGCATAACAAATACTACATTTATTGTTTATAAATATGAGGTGATTAACATAAGTTCGGTAGGTTGATCAGAAAAAAGACAAACATTTTCTTTTTTGTATATATTCTTAATCTTTGTTCTTTTTTTATTTTATCTATATAACGGTCATTGATTTCAATGCATTTCTTAAGCTTATAGATCAACTTCTGAAAACAGTCTTCAAAATCTTGCCTTTTAAGGTTATCAAGCTTATAGCCTATTTCCACCAAGCACTTAAATGCATTTAAGACCTCTGTTAAGTAAATGAAACGTCAAACGATTCCACCGAAAGTGAGTTAACTCAAACAGCTGATTTTTGTTTACATTTGCAGTTTACAAAATTTGCCACATCTATAGAAATCATGAATGCAAGAGACCGCATTCATTTTATTTGGCTATTTCTGCAAACTTAAGACTTGGAAGTGCAAATTATTTCTGCACGGACAAACGTTGCTGAAACGAAAATGCTTTTATGCATGTTTCCATTTTCATATTTGTTTGTTTGTTCCCTCAAATTATTGATTTTGCGCAATCAGCTGATAGCTACCAGAGCCACGTATATTTTTATGTTGAGGGGATCGTTTGATATTTCACAATTGTTTTTTGTTTGTTCCTTATAGTTTTTTTTTTGAAGGTGGAGAAGCATTCTCTTCGCCAATTACTTAATATAGGCATTTATGTTAAAACTAGCGCAAAAAAGGAATTTTTATACAAAAAATTTCAGCATGCAAAATAAAAATCTTGCCCCTCATTAAATCCGAAAATACACGACTCTGGCAAGAAATACACCGAAACTTCCGAAATGATTACATTAGTAGTGACAGCATCGAATGTTACCATAAAATTTTCTGTTAAATTGCCGAAAAAGAGTTAACTTACTTTGAAAAGTGAGTTAACACACTTTTATACAACAACAAACACATGGGAATTACCGCATTTAAATGCGATGTTTAAATACATTTAAGCTAAAATGCATTTAACGTCCGGTGGAAATAGGCTATTAGCATTAACCGCATTAACTATCACCTCGTTTATATTAAAGACCTTTCCTTTTATATTTTGTTTTAATTTTTGGAAATAACCAGAAATCACAAGGTGTTATATCCGGGGAATATGATGCTAGAGCAGTTCTTCGATCGCATAGAACGCTATATAATACTCGTTTTTCAGCAGTGTAGCATGGCGCATTGTCATGATATAAAAAGTAGCGCCGCAAATCCTCTTTCTTACGGTTTTCCAACAAATATTTCAAAGTTTTTGGTGAGAACTCTTCGGTGTTCTATTTCGCCGTTACCGCCTCACAACTGTTTTAGTGGAATAGCAGCTACAATTTTAAATTAGGTGAAAAAAATTGATATTATTACTTTTGCTGCTAACTTTTGTTGCTTAGATTTTACGGTTGGGTTTGCTCCTGTTGGTCTCCATGCCATGCTTTGCTGGTAGATTTCTGGATCGTGAGTCTTCGTCAACTTTGAACTTAACCAGAGCTACAGAGACGTAATCAGTGCAAAGTTTTGGTTGACCTTCTCCGGGCTCGACCTCTATCTGAAAATGTCCGGCCTAGAATCTTCGGAACCACTTAGAAACAGTCTTTAAAGAAGGTGCAATCGTTCCATATGCAATTGGCATTCACTGAATATTGGCTGTAAACTACGCCGAAGCCCGAAGAGAACCACATGGCGAATTTCTGTTTGCGTTGGAGGTGGAATTTCGTCCTCAGCACTTTAGCCTTTCATTCTAAAATTTGTTAATCCTCTCATATTTGTAGGTACATACACATATGTTCGTTTATGGTATTTTTCTGCGTGCATTCATACATACATAAGACATCAGAGTCAAAATGACACTAGATCGCCCAAGCTTTTGTATCTGTTATGGCTCTTGAGGGAAGGTCATAAAAATTAAAAATCACTAAGCACATCGCACAAAAAATAATAAACATGTCGATGTCTTTGTTGTTGTTGTGATAGTGGTTCACTAGCTCCGCTTAAGAACAGGTTTAATCAATCTAAGTCGCCTAGGTCATCTAATGGGAGGTCCAGGAACCGTGCTGTTTCGACGGGTTTGGCTCAGAGGGAGAGGGGGGTTAGATGTGTCGGTTTAAGTGGGCATGTGAAGAGGATAGTGTTCTTCCGAGTACTCCTTTTCTGATGTGCCTAGGTGGTGGTTCAGCTTCGTGGAGATGCTTTTCGAAAGTTCCCTACGGCAGCATCCCAGCAGCAAGCCTGTAGCTTCTTCATCTGCGTCTCGTTCGTCCCCAGCCCCCAGATCGGTAAAGCATAGTTAATGACCGGCCGGCCAACTGCTTTATATGCTGCCGGCAAAGTTTCTTTGTCTTTACCCCACGTGCTGCCGGCTAGGGCTTTGAGTATTTTGCTGCGGCTCTGGAGTTTTTTGGCAATTGCGGTTGTTTGCAGAGTGAAGGAGTGCTGTCTAGACTTACTGCCAACATCTTTGGGTTATCTCACATCCAGTTCAATCCTGTACTCCTTCGCCCAGCTTGTGAAGATGGTAGCCGAGGATTTGGTCGGTTGTATATTTAGCTGTCTCACAGTGAAGAAGGGAGAAAGATCGGTGAGGTAGCCGTTCGCTTTCGAACAGAGGTCGTCAATATCCTAGCCAGACGCCATTATCGTACAATCATCAGCATACGAGGTTAGGGAAACTCCTTCTGGTGGTAGAGGAAGTTTCGAGATGTAGAAATTAAACAGTAGCGGGGAGAGGACACCACCCTGCGGAACCCCCTGTTTAATTTTTCTGGGTTTAGATGTTTTACCTCGGAATATTACCGATGATTGTCGACCACTCAGGTAGCCCATGACCCACCTCTGCAACCCCGGCGGTAATGAGGATTCCTCAATGTCCGTTAGTAGCACTGATTGACTGTGTCAAAAGCATTTGACAGGTCCAGTGCTACTAGGAGAGTTCGCGCGCAGGGTCGGTTTTGGTTGGGGCCATGGACTATCTGGGTGTTTATGGCGTTAAGTGCTGTTGTGGTGGTGTGCACTTTTTGGAAGCCATGCTGATGCGCTGCTGGACGCAGATGGTGAGTGAAGGTCGGGAGAGGAGAGTTATCGGCCGATAGGACTCTCCTTTGTTGGCTGGTTTCCCGGTTTTAGTAGCGGGACCACCCTACCCATTTTCCACACGTCGGGTATCTTCAGGGTGGTCAAATACAAATTTAGGACCCTCGTGAGAAATTCTGCTCCCGCTGATCCTAGGTGTTTTAGCGTCAGCATGCTTATTCCGTCGGGGCCGATGGATTTGGAGACTTTTATCTTCCCGATAACCCATTGAACCTATTCCCTGGAGAAAGCAAACGCCGCGCTGGTATTTAGCAGTTTGCACATACGGAGGATTACACGTCGCTTCGTTTTGTCTACTGAAGGATGCAGTGTAAAAAGTCTGCTGAAATAGCTCGCGCATCTCTTCGGTTGAAATTTCCACCCGGCCATCGCGTCTCGTCGTGTTGGACAGCGACTTGACTGTAGCCCAGAGCTTGGTTGCCCCAGAGGAGAGGTTGCAAGTCCTTAGGTTGTTGACTACTCTTCTAATCTCCGCGTTTAAATCAGTGGATGCTAATACCGCCGCTTCTGTCGGAAAATTTGGGCGGATTTCCGCTATCCAGCCTGCCGGGATGAAGCGGGCGGCAGCGTTCTCGACGACTCTGCGGAAGTAACGTTCACCAGAAGTGACGTCTGATGGAGTGGTGAGAGCACTCAAAGCTTTTTCGGTGAATTCTGTGGCACCGCACCAGTTGGTTTTTTTAAAGTTGACAAATGTTCGGTGATCCGCGGAAACAAAGTCGGGAGTGTTAATCGAGATTTCTATGGGTAAGTGGTTCGATGCTCGTGCCAGTACAGGTCGCCAGGCTATACTGTTTATCAGACCAGCACTCTCACCCTTTCTACGATCTAACTCCGTTTAGGTCTACAGGTTACATTAATAAATATGTTCATCCAGGTTGGTTGAAAAGTTTTTGTGAAATGCATTTTTTTTATTCAATATAATCTCGCTTATTCCAATAATCCTTCTTCATTTGGCAAAAAAACGCTTTCAATGAAGGTGTTTTTTTGTGGTTTATGAATGGTAGTGGTCGCTGG